GTTTTTTTTTCTTCCTTCCTTCGATTTGAAGGTGAAAGTAGAGAGAGGGAGAGAGAGAAGAAATGTGATTAAACTTTTTTTCTCCTTCTTCTCTATTTATTATTGTCCAGCTGTCGATTCTTATTCCAATGTAAATAATCAAATGAGATGACAAACAATGATAATTCCAACACGAAAATAATTTTACTTTTCCCATATCACGTGTTCATACTTGTTATTCGTGAAAAAAAATATTATTATGATTAGTCATGCTCATTGCTTTGATCGTTATCTTAAACTATAATAAATGAAGAAGAAGAAGAAGAAGAAGAAACTATCAATCAATCGATCGATGGGAAAATCGAATAATGACATCAATTTTGATGAATTGTAGGTGGTAAAAAAAAGGATACATGAAAAGACTTGTCTTTATGATCAAGTGATGCTCAACACTTTCAACTAAAAAAGAAAGCTTTGATCTTATCTTGAGAAAATTTTATTCAATTGTCGACAGCTTATAATTCTTAAACATGCATATGATCAATTTAAAAGTTTTATTGTCGATGGATAGAAATTATAAGCTCTTGTAATAACAATATTTGTGTAAATTTCGATTCTGTATCCTTCTAATTTGGTTATAGTAAATAATTTGCTGTCAATATAGGATTTCAATGAAACATATATAGTATTGTTTAAACTAAAGATGTAGATATAAAAAAATAAATTTCATCGTTTCTGAATATATAATTCTTAATGTAGAAGATCTTCTTAATTTGTATAAGATTCGATTAAAAAAACATTAAAGTAATGAAGTAAGAACAACGTAATATGTGCTGTAATTACGTAATTCGTATACTTAGTCATTGAAATTTCACAATAAAATGCAACATAGGTAAACTAAATAAATAGGTGCAAAGTGTTATTATCGCTATGATAAAAATCACAGTTCAATAGGGCATATGTCCTCATCGTCAGAAAAGCTTGAAATGAATACTATAGCAACGAAAGATGCTCTTCGTCTTTGTCGTGAAACAGAAGATATTAATACAATATTAGCATTAACAGCTCATACTGATCCGATTGTACGACAACGTGCATTGAAAGAAATATGTCCATGTCGTGTTAAAGATGATATTGATCTATTTTGGGAACGTGTAATAGAAATGATTGAGGATCCAGCTGACAATGTTCGAGAACAAGTGAGTGTGATAATCACATAATAAATACAATAATATGAATTATATTAAAGGTATTACATACATTATGTGATGGTTCCCCTGATCATATGGAAATGAAAGTTTTAGATGCACTTGAAACATTTAATCGAGATCGAAATCAATATATTCGCCGACGAGCTCATAAAGTTCTTTCATCCTATCGACGATCAGGCAAATGGAATGTATTATAAAGTAATATGAGTTATCCTAAAAGAAGAAACATATATGAACTTCAGAATGAAACCTATTCAACTGATTGAACATTAACTGTATAAAATTTTCTCTGTGTTAAATAAAATCTCCAGACAATTTTTACAAATATATATTGTTAATTATATATTAAAAATAGAGACTAACATCGAAGCTGTTAAATCATTCGATATAATGAAAACAACAATTGAAATTTTATAGTAACAAAAAAACATCTTTTTCTATATACAAAAATCTATACTTAGAACTATTTTAATAAACGCAACCATTCATTATTAAATATGAGAAAAGTTATTTAATAGTACGATATCTAAAGCAAGATAATATATTATGGAATTCTGATTAATAATTTAAAGAATCGTCTACTTGCATATGCAATTATGATACGAGTTTTTGTACTAAAGGGGATGATCCAAAAACCATGAATTTTTCCACACTCTAGAAATGTCATAATACGAACGTCCTTGTCACCCAGATCACGAATCCGATATCCGTTTGTCTATATCTGATCCTTTTCTTACCGTGTTTACCATAAGGGGTACTTGGATCTCAGTAGGATAGTTCTATGGAGATTCAAACACAAATACATAAAGTATTCAGAAAATTTTCTTTTCCCTCAGATTTTGTAGAGCTTTCTTCGCTGATCATTTTTGTATAAGGAAGTTTCGAATTCTATTGAAAAATGACGACGCCATCGTCAAAATAAAAAACATAGTAAAATGCGGTAAAATAGTTTAAATCCCATTTTTCCTTATAAAATATTGAAAACTGTTAGAAAAAAAAGGATCAGATCTAGACAAACGGATGTCAGATTCGTGATCTGGGTGGCAAGGACGTTCGTATTATGACATTTCTAGAGTGTGGAAAAATTCATCATTTTGGATCAACCCCTTTATATATTATTTCAATTATTAAAATCTTTCGACATTTTATCTACTTTCGGGAAGAACTTTTTCATGATTAATTCTAATAATAATCATCACATTTTAAAGGCTTCGGAAGTTTGATGCAATAATTCATATTAATTTTCGAAATAACACTATTTCAATGTTATTCACGTACACTATCACAAATCAGGTTCCATGATTTTAGCAATAAAGCCATATAAGCAACTAAGTTTATCAGCATTTTTCTGTTAGTTGAAAATGTAGTCAAGATTTATGTCTCGACACTTCACGATGAAAAAGATAGAAATAGCGAAATAAAGTTTGCCCAGAATCTATATAGGAACAATCCTATATCGAATTAGACGTATAACTATTTTTAACATCATAAAATGAAACAAGTATTTATTAATAATATATATATGATAAAAAATTTCATTTAATATGATTAAATAAAATTTTTAAAGTAATTAATATGACCTTTCGACAGATGTCAGTAGAGGTTTTGAAGTAATGTCGCTTTTTCCTGTAGGGAATTAATTGGTCCATTCATAACTTATCTCTACATCCTCTCTAACGTGTCCGTGTTGCTTATTTATTTATTTTCAATTGATCTCATTGTTTAATGACTTCTACCTTCGTATGTCCTTGCATATATACACCGTCATATTCACTCATACTTTTAATTTTTCTTTCGATGATTCATCATATCATAAGAAATGAATTCTATTGCGTCAGTTTCTTTCAGATTATTATCATTGTTATG